TTGGGAAGACAAAGAGGTTTTTTTCGCCTATTTTACCACACAAAAAATAGGCTTTTTAGCCAATAAGACACATTATTAATCCAACCTAGTATTACATTTCCATTCTTTCTCACAAAAAATATAAAGGTCAAAGTTTTTAACAGACTAGCTTTTTAGCCCGTGTTAAAAAAGTTAAAAAGTATCAATCTTTTTCAAACAACTTATATGAAAATTGCATTCTAAGATGAGAACTAAATGAATTAGAGATCCTTCAACGTTCACTTGTTTTTTCACCAAATTGAGTAAAAATAAGTTGTTTTCTTAATTTGAATACTTCTTCTTCAACGGTGATGCATCAAAGCAGATATTGAAGACGTGCTGTGGCAGGTTGACTGCTGATCAATTCGTGGGGCATTATTTTATTTATTTTTCTGTTTACACATTTTTTAATCGGTTTGAACTTTTGGGTTATATGAAGGATCGTCGATGTTGGTCACCGGCGTTACCGGTTGGTCTCTTAACGTCTAGCAATAATATTGGGTGAGCCTGTATTCTGTTTCATTTTGATAATTTTTTTTGTTCAATTCTTTTGATAATATTTGTGAACCGTTGGAGCTCCCAAAAGTATATTTTTTTTACTAAATTCAAATTTATGCAGTTTACTTACGTGTGATGGTCTTTGTTGAATATTTAACCACTTTATATTTGTGAGGTCGAAAAGGTCTGCTCGGGCCAATTGACTTTCGTGGGTCAGCAGTAGGTTATTATTTTTTTTTATTTTTTTGCGGGTTGAGCCTAGCCGAAATGAAACAAGGGAAATTTACGGTAGGTTTACGTTTTTTTGTTTATTATTTGAAAAATTTTAAATTGATTTTGTTTATTTTTAACAAAATTCAATGCATTTGTTTGAACAAATGTTTGAAAATTTTAAAAGTAACTAAATATGTTGTTTAAGCTTAAATATTTATATTTTTTTTTTATTTATGAATGGATATACACATTATAATTGAAAAAAATATTTGATAATTAATTTGAAAATTGTTATTCAATTTTTATTTCTATTTAAATCAACTGTATCTCATTTTTTCAATTTTAATCAAACAATCATTTATAAACTAAAAATTAAAAGTTTTGATAATTTTTAACCATTTTTATGGATATTATTGGTTTTGTACTGTTTGGTTTTGTCATCCGTTTGTGTCATTGTTCGTGAATTCTTGCGATTGATTCTTTGCTTTGAAATTATATTAAGAAAATTTGAAGGTGATAATCTCTGCAATGTTTATGTATAAAAATGATACAAAAAGAACAATAATTAAAATGAGTAACGCTATTGAGCTAACTACTATTCTATTTTGATAAAAAAATTTTAAATTTTAAAAAACATATGGGCTTTGTTACTTGAGAAAAGGTCGGTAATAGTATTCAAAGTTTGACAATCAAAGTCAGTGAAATACTTTGCAGATTTGTTTTGGAGAGATTATGATGCGAGGATTGTTAGTGAAAATTAGTATTTATTATATTTTGATGATATTGTTGACATAGAATTGTTAATTTATTTTATATAAATAATTATAAATAAATATAAAATAAATATTAATGTTAAAAATGCCACATGTAAAAATAATTTTTTAATGGATTGAATGAGCTTTTTTTATAATGATGATACAAATTTAACGAATATTTATTTTATTACAATTTAAAAGTTTTCTCGTGGGGACATGACGGCAGCATGCTAGATTTAGCGATTTCTAAAACGAGAGGGAGAAGAGGAGTTGGTAAGTTATGCATGTGTGGTCTTTTCATGTCCACGAGAACTTTTTTAATGTGATAAAAATTGAATTTATTCGTTATTTTGTTATTATCTTTTTCATTAAAAAAAGTCATTAATCATTTAAAATTATTTTTTTATTTGGCATTTTTTGAACATTAAATTTCTTTTTATTATATTATTTTATTTTTTTTATATAAAATAATTTACCAATTCTTATGTCAATTATATCAATATATATAATTTTACTTATTTTTTTCACTACAATCTGATCCTCGCATCATAAATCCTCTCCGAAAACAAATCTGCAAAAGTGATTTGACGTGGGCTTTTGATTGTCAAACTTTGAATACTATTTTACCGACCATTCTTCTCAATGTAACAAAGGGCCATATGTTTTTTTTAAAATTTTTAATTTTTTTTTTTTATCAAAATAGAAGGTTAGTATGTTAGGCTCATATAGCTGTTTACTGGGTCATTTTGTAATTTATTGGTTTTTTTTTGTATCATTTTTTATTACATAATACATTGCAAGATATTATTCACCTTCAATATTTTCTTAATTATAATTTCAAAGCAAAGAATCAATCGCAAGAATTCACGTAAACAATGACACAAAACGATGACAAAACCAACAGTGACAAAACCAATAATATGTCCTATAAAAATGTTAAAAATTATCATAAAAACTTGTTTGGTAATTTTTTTAGTTTATAAATGATTGTTTTGATTTATAAATTTGAAGAAAATGAGATTACGTTGATTTTTAAATAGAAATTTAAAATTTTGAATAACAAATTTTTTTCAAATAATTTTTTATTTCAAATATTTTTTTTTTCAATTATAATGTGTATGATCCCATTATCATAAATAATAAAAAATAAATATAAATATTTTAAGCTTAAACAAACATATTTTTTAGTTTATGTTTTTAAAATTTTTCAAACATTTTGTTCAAACCAAATGCATTTGTAATTTATGTTTTTTAAAAAATAAACAAAAATCAATTTAAAATTTTTTTTCAAATATAAACAAAAAAACGTAAACGCTACCGTAACATTTTCCCTTGTTTTCATTTTCGGCCTAGGCTCAACCCGCAAAAAAATAAAAAAATAAAAAATAATAAATCCTACTGGGCTAAGCCCACGAAAGTCAGATTGGCCCGATGCAGACCCTTTTCTGAACCTCAACAATGAGGTAAAGGGTTGGTTGAAATATTCAAACAAAGACCATCTCTAACGGTTAAGTAAATCTGGCATTAAATTTGAAATTTAGTAAAAAAATATACTTTTTGGAGCTCCAACGGTTTCACCAAATTAGTATCAAAATGAGAATTGAACAAAAAAATTATCAAATTGAGAACAGAATACAGGTTTCACCATATTACTGTGCATGACTGTTGGAAGAGACCAACCGGTTGACCGGCCGGTTGACCAACCGATCGATCGATTCCCTTTCAAATAGGTAGGTTCAAACCGATTAAAAAATGTTTAAACAAGTAAAAATAAATAAAATAATTGCCCTTACCGATTGATCGGCAGGTCAACCGGCCGATCGACCACTGCTCTCAATTCTGCTTTGATGCTCACCGTTGGAAGAAGAAGTATCAAATTAAGAAAACAACTTATTTTTTACTCAGATTTGGTGAAAAAACAAGTGAACGGTTGGAGATGCTCTAATTCATTTGAGGTTCTTCACTTAGAATGCAAATGTTTCATATAAGGTTGGTTTGAAAAATGAGTTGACTTTTTAACTTTTTTAACACGGGGCTAAAAAGCTTAGTTTGGTAAAAGACTTTTGACCTTTTTGATTTTTTTGTGAGAAAAAGAATGTAATGATTATAGGTTGGATGTAATATGTTGTCTTATTGGGCTAAAAAGCCTATTTTGTTTTTTGTGGTTAAAATAGCCGAAAAAAACCTGGCTTTTGTCTTCCCAAACTAAGCCATAATATATATCATCTATGCAGGTTCACAGTACAGTTCATTCTCATTTTTTTGTTATTATTAATTTCCTTAGGTTCCAAATATCTATGAGATCGATATAAATACGCATATACAGAAGACACATCACTAAACATGCAAATATGCAATTTTTTTGATAGGTAATACAATAAAACAGAAAACAGAAAGAAAGACAACATCCAAACCAAGAACACATCAAAGAGAATAAAAACCAATGCAACGAATCACAACTAACACCAGGAAGCAGAACAATAAGCTCGTAATTACAAATATGCAATTAAGTCTTGGTTTATACCTCCAATTTGGTGAGTCGTTTAACAGATTGCAGCAGACAGAATGAAGGATTAAAGCAGCCAGCAACTTTCGCATGCATGAACTTCATTTCAATTGGAAACAGATCAATCACTGTTAAACTTGGACTAAAACATGGACGAATCTAGAAGAATCAAAGTTCAATTGGTTCAAGAAGTCTGCCAAGAGTATTGCTTCATGCAAAATCTAAATATCATAGAAGTATTTTGACACAGCCAAATTCCAAATCAAAATCAAACTTCCATCGATGCTTAGAATAATAATTTCATAACACAAGATTGTTTGTTTAGTTTTGAGAAAATCGGTTGAATGGGAAAAAAAAAATACACAATTTTTTTACCATTCACGAGACTGTAGATTCAAATAGACAATAACTCCTACTCGATCATGATTACATTTTAGGATTCACTATCCTTATGATATGCTAAAGGAGAAGAAATCTACAAGTTCGGGGGTACCTACCTATAGAAGACCCGAATTGAAATCTTTTTCCCAATCACTCATCACATAGAGATGCCAGGAGCTCACGTGGTGATGCCCAAATTGGAAGATCAACTAATGATTGCTTCGCGTGATCCTCTTGCACATTGCAAACCACTTCTGCCATATGGCAGAGATTAGATAAATCTTGAATAATTCCCTCCTCTGCTTCTGCCTGCAAAAGTCGGGGAAAAAAACCCGGTAAATCAGAACAAAACTAAGATGCATTCTACATGTATATGCATATGCATATGCATGCATGTACATTAGGCCACGACCACACCCTCCCTCCTCTCTTTATGAGTAAATTGTAATACTCTTTAGGCTTTTGCAAGTTTAAGAAGCTTAATACTGCAGCAATTGGTTAATTTCGTGACAGGAGCCATTAGCTCTGTTTGGCAGCTGAGAAATTGTAAGAAATTAAACTAAAATTTTGAGTCTTTTCTATAATTCATTGCTCGGTGACACAGAAAATAAAACCCTATACTCAATTGCTCCTAATTGTTCCTTGGTTGACCATAAGCTGAAACTGAGTTTCCCATTTCCCGGAAACAGCCAAAGAGCATATCAAATCCTTACTCTTTTTTTCATCAAATTTGA